CATCTTTGCAGAAGTTGCATATGAAGTGGCATTTAGATGTATTTACACGTTAATGCAGCTTAGAGCGACATGGAATACTTTAACCTGCAGTTACAAATGCATAAATAATGTTTTGATATTTTAAACATGAAATGTTGAATACTGATATTTGAAATTATTTAAAAAATGAAAAGATAAACGTGAAATTAAAACCGCCAGTAGGTGGCAGCAAGTCATTGTTACGTGAGTCATTGCGATTGAACCGAATCATTTAAACGGTTGATTCATTCAGAAACAAAACAACGTCATGTTGCTCAGAGACGCAAAACAGTACTGTGGCTGTCTTTGGAATGTTTTTTTTTTGTTGGCGAAATAGCGCAAAAACAGCCAATATAGTGTATAAAATGTAAGTCTCTTGATATTAATTTATTGTTTATTGAACTGTTGTATAAAATCAATATCACATTTATAACCATGCTGATTTTTTAAGAAAAAAACGTCACTCTTCGTGTGATATTGATTAACTAACTATATGAATTGATTTAAATATATACATTTTCTGCCCCCTTATCTTGAATTATGTGATCATTCTTAATGCATATTAATATTCTGAATAATGCAGTGAAAGAACGCACTCTAAATGCACACGCGCTCTAAAGCCTGTGTTGGTCTAACCAGACTTCATCACGTCACGCATGCGTGCCTCTGTAGGTGTGTTTTGTTTGGTTTTTGCAATATTCTCGATAATGTAATGATGTCTCACGAGTTCAGTATTTGCGCTAAACCTGCGCAGATTTGGCTTGCATGAACTTCCGAGAGAAATTAATGAGTGAACATAACTTACGAAAAGTAACCCGCCAAATTGGTTAGTGATTTGACAGCGTTAGCCGCCACAGCTGATTTTTACCCGCATTTGGCGGGTTTGCGGGTGTTAATTTCAAACCTTGTACATATACATAAGAAAGTATGGGCTGTTTGGGCCCTGTAGCTTTCTCCCCGAGGTCGTTGATGTATCCAGATGCGGCTGCGGGTTGAGCGGGTGTCTCCGCAGACACTGTGGCAGTACCGGTGTTGCAGGTTCCAGGGCCTGAAGTGTTCTCTGACGCGGCCTCGATTGCTGTGTCAGTATTAGCAGCAGTAGAATAAATACTGGAAGTGTCAGAGTTATAGACCTCCACTCTTGTAGTTGTGGGTTTATTAAAAAAACGACAAATATCCATTTTGTTTATTTAGCATATCTCTGCATGAATTAATGAATTAATGATGCATTTATATAGCACTTTATTGTGTATTGTTGTACACCCAAAGCGCTTAAAATCATGTGGGGGGGTCTCTCCTCAACCACCACTAGTGTGCAGCATCCACAGGACAACGGCGCCAGTGCGCTCACCACACACCAGCTACAGGTGGAGAGGAGAGAAAGTCATAGAGCCAATCAAGTGATTGGGGATTATTAGGAGGCCATGATTGACAAGGGCCAGGGGAGCAATTTGGCCAGGACACCGGGGTTACAACCCTACTCTTTATGAGAAGTGCCATGGGATTTTTAATGACCACAGAGAGTCAGGACCTCGGTTTAACATCTCATCCGAAAGACGGTGCTTTTTGACAGTATAGTGTCCCCATCACTACACTGGGGCGTTAGGACCCACACAGACCACAGGGTGAGCACCCCCTGCTGGCCTCACTAACACCAGACTAAAGCGGGACCAGAACGAGAAGAGAGTCCACTCACACGATACTTTGAGATTCGATTGAGAGTCGCGAGAGCATAGAGCTACTTTTTAAAAACATTAATTAAAAATAATTTAGCCTTAACATAGTCATTAAAATAATTAGATAATACAAATAAAATTAGAAAATGTGAATATATGTGTTTTATTAATAGCTCTGGCAAAATCAATTGGCTCTGGTCTGAGGGGCCTACTAGGCAGAGTTTATTTATTTTATTTATTTTTATATTTAAAAATATTTAAAAATAAATAAATGTAAGGAAATTGCATACTTCCCTACAAACTCCACCTATGTTTTTATATTGACTGTCTGTTTACTTGAATTATTAATTAAATCAATATTTACTTAACTAAGAAATTCTTGAAGGCTAATTTGTTAATATTTATATCAATATTTTACTTTTTAAAATTAATTTGTTGATTGTGTTCTTTTTTGTATATATATATATATATATATATATAAAATTGTATATAGTATACTTTTTTTCCGTGATATAACATTTGTATTATCAAAATAATGTCAAAATTAGATACATGTGTTTTATGTAATTATTTTTAAATGTTAAAATTCATGTTAATGTATTAGTAAATATATAGGTAACCAAATGTTTAGTTAACCATTTATGAACTTTTTAATGAAAACATAGGTTTCATGAAAATTTTCAGCTTTATTAGTCTTAATAAATACTAACACAAAACTTGTTTTATATTAGTATAGTTGAGATACTATTATTGTGTTTATCGATATTTTGAAGTATTTTTTATTTGATTTGATGCTATGTTATTTATAATGTTATTATGTTATTTTATTTTGTTTTAACCAGTTTATTGTGTTTTTGTCATATTGATTTATTCAGTACACACACACACACACACACACACACACACACATATCATTTATTTTTATTTCAGTTATGAAAATGAGAAATGTTGCCTTTTTTTTTTTAGTTTAATATTCCTGGTCTAAACTTTATAAGCTGTTCATATGTTATTTTTTACTGAATGTATTAGTGTCTATCCAGTGAGATCATGTTTGTATTTAGACAGAGACAACGGAACAATAGATGACGTTAGCTTCTGGTAAAGGTACTGTACAAAATGTATTTTAAAGAAACTCTATGCCTGAGCCGAACTCCATTACGCCAGCAGATTTCTGTCTACAGAGAGCTGATGCTCTTTCTGTGCAGAAAAGCTAAGAGTAAAAATTATAATGGCCAAAACCCGAAACTCACATTTTCAACCCCAATATCCATTACCCAGCATCCCGTGTGTTCCTATTCTGCTGTTAAGCAGGTGACCTTTGACTGGACTGCAGGCAGATGTACCGCGGTGGGAGAAAGAGTTTATCCAGCCCCCAGCTCAACCCCAAAATCTGCATCGATCTCCCTCGCTGACGGTGTTCGATATGTCAGTTCAGCTCAGATTTTACCCTCACTTCCTGATCTATTTATAGACATCAGCATTCTATTGCTCTCATTTCCCCTAAGGCAAATACGAGAGAGCATGTGAGTGCTTAAAACGGCCATGGGAAGCAATTATTGTGGTGTAGTGTTAAAAGACTGCAGGGGAAAACTGCACTTTGGCTTTACTGTTGCCCAGAAACTGAATCTTTTCATAAAAGTATACTATATCATCACTATATACATATCATTATAGTTATAACAATAACAAATACTATGGATGTCAAGTGGTTACATTTTAAAATAAAATTAATTGCACATTAATTGTGGCTAAGAAATTACCCCCCAAAAGATCATTTAAAATCATTATTGTTTTAAATGATTAAAAACATTAAATAGACGTTTTTTTCATACTGAAATATGAAATGATAAAAAATATACTCTAAATATAAAAAAAAAACACCAGTAGGTGGCGGCAAGTCACTACCTTAATAAATGAGTCATTCAGTCATGCATTCATGTGATTCATTCAAAGGGCTGATTCATTCCGAAACAAAGCAAGTAACTGTCTTTATGAATGAGTCACTGGATCATTCACTCACTTGATTCATTCAAACAGCCAATTCATTCCGAAACAAAGCAAGTGACTGGCTGCATCTGAAATCGCATACTTCCCTACTATATAGCAGGCGAAAACAGGTATGTGGCAAAACAAGTATGTCCGAATTCACAGTACTCATAAAAGAGTAGGCAAAAAGTACCCGGATGCCCTACTACTTCTGCCGTGATTCTGAAGTGTGCATGATGGACACTTATTCTCCCATGAGGCCACGGGAGAGGATTTATGAATATCAGTGACGCGATACAACTGATGCTGGAGGGTCACATGACAATGACAACATGGCTAATGTACCGTAGTTCGTCCAGAATACATTCATACTACACACATTCATACTATATAGAGCATTCTCTTTTTGCGGTCGTGAAGTCATTACTTACTCAAAAAAGTACCTATTCAAGAAGGTATGCGATTTCGGACACAGTCCCTGTCTTTATGAATGAGTCGCTGAATCACTGGCTCACGATTCATTCAAAAAGCCAATTCATTCATAAAACAAAGCAAATGACTCGTCTATATGAATGAGTCACTGATTCAATTACTCACTTGATTTGTTCAAATGGCCAATTCCTTCAGAAACAAAGCAAGTGACTGTATTTATGAAATAATCACTGAATCATTGACTCACTCGATTCGTCCAAAATGCAAACTCATTCAGTTAGGAAACATCACTGTATGTTGATTGGATACTCAAAACAGGTCTGCTGTGGCTTCGTGTGGAACTGTTTTTGTTCGTGAAATTGAGCAAAACAGACAATATCAAGTCTAAAATTGAACACAATAATAACTTTATATATTATATTAACTTTATCTTTATTCAACTATTATATGAAATCAATATCACATTTGCAATCATGCAGATATTAGGGGGGGGGGGCAGAATTCTTGTGAAATGAAGCAAATGACTGTCTTTATGAATGAGTCACTGAATCATTGACTCACTCGATTCATTCAAACAGCCGATTCATTCAGAAACAAAGCAAGTGACTGTCTTTATGAATGAGTCACTGAATCATTCCTTCACTCGATTTATTCAAAACTGTGGATTCATTCAATAACGAAACACTTCTGTGTGTTACTCAGAAAGACAACAATTCTTCTGTGACTTTGACTGGAACTATTTTTGTTTTACAAATTTGAAGAAAACATACAATATTGACAATATTGTGTCTATAATGTAACACATTTTCACTTATAAAGACACAATGTAGTGCCAATAAGACCACATGAACCGCAGTTTAATAGAATTCTGGGCTTATTTTGACTTACGTCTTGATTGCTCATCTCCCAGTATGGTCTCTCGCCGTACGACGTCACTTCCCACATCACAATGCCGTAGCTCCACACGTCACTGGCTGAGGTGAACTTCCTGTAGGCGATGGCCTCTGGAGCCGTCCACCTGATGGGAATCTTTCCTCCCTGTGAGACAAACAGCACGCTGAAATCCACATCTCACATCAGAAACATGTCTTGTCAGAGCATCTTAACAGGTGATTATCGCTGGGAAGGAATGGTGTCAGGCTGTGAAATGTGACAGGAAGCATTAGGTCTGTGGACGGCTGCTGCATGCTAATCACTAATTGACTGTCCCGGTGTTAGCGCACTCCATCTCTGACAGCACTGAGGAGACATGACTTAATTTACTTCACCGACAGTTCACACAGCCATAAAACGCTTCCCTCAGTGTGACACACCAAAACAAGAAACAGATGACAAAGAACACTATGCTATGCTAACTATGACAGCCACCACCAAACCTCTAATTATCCTCTTTCAGAATAAGGCAGCTCCATTTTCAGGGCTCAACAATAATTAGTTTTCACTGTTGAATATTTTTGTTCTTGCTCTGGCAAAATTTCACTGGTTTTGAGGCAAAAAAAAAGAAAACAAATTCTGGGTGTGATTTAGCAACATACGTTTTAAGTGTCAGAATATTCAACAAGAATAAATTAGGGGCACTGACAATGTTATTTGCACATGTTATTTGGGGACAAATTCACAAAATATTCTTAAAAAAAAAATAGTTCTTAACTGCCACTTTGCATTTGCTTCTTGCAATGCAATGCTTACATACAGGACTTATTCCTTCTAGAGATACAGCTAGAAAAACAGAGTGGGAATGAATGCATTTAAAAATGATTATTTTAAATATAAAAAAGTGTGACACAGAACACTTAATTCCTGTCAAGCCAGTCACAATGAAAATTGTGTGTGCACTTATTATGATTAGTATGGTAATCTGCAAACAATGCATAAACATAAAACTACCTACAGCGACTTTATTACACAAAAGGTTTCAATATTCATTGAGCTAATCAATGAGTCTTCAAGAAGAATCAGCATACAATCAGATAACACCAAAGCCTCTCTTTTTTCTTTTTTTTCTTAAGAAAAAAGATGTTCTTAAGAATACTTAAGAATTTTTCAGGAGTTGCACACTCATGATTCTTACAGTAATCTGCAGGCTGTGCAAAAACATGGAATTTGAGGTAATTTTATTGAATTCATTGAGCCTTTGGCAAGAACGCTGCGCCTGTCATGTTAAGACAATTCTTGAAAACGTCTTAAAGAATTTTTGAAAAGTTGAACTTAGTAACATTCTTAAAATGCTGGGTTAAATATAACCCAGCACTGGGTTATATTTAACCCAGCATTTTTTAGAGTGTATAGTGTGTAATAATGCCTGTAATGCACTCTGAGATGGAAGTGTCCAGCTTAATACGTTAGTGCATTTTCAGAGAGCAGGAATGGAACAGTACTGAAAAGTAGGGTGCTAGTGGCACTGGGTTTGAATGTAGGTTTAAAACAAAGCCCTGCTGTGAGGCAGCTAATAGATGCAAGGAGTAGTAGGTTAGCTGTTAGCGTGGCTCAGCGTTTATCCTCTGTAGCACGTACGCGGGTTGTGTAGGCCGCCTCTGGGTCGTCCTCCAGCACTCTCGACAAGCCGAAGTCGGACACCTTACACACCAGGTTGCTGTTGACCAGGATGTTGCGGGCAGCCAGGTCACGGTGCACATAGCCCATCTCAGAGAGGTAGCGCATGCCAGAAGCAATGCCACGCAGCATGCCGACCAACTGGATGACAGTGAACTGACCGTCGTTCTTCTGTTGGAGCAGTAAAGACACAAATATGAGAGCAATACATCAAACTAAATGCTTATACTTCAGAAAGAATGTCTCACCGCACAAACTGAGGGGAGCAGCTTTTGATGAAGTGCACACACAAATCTGCTATTAAGTGTTTGGTGAGTTTAAATAAATTAATTCAAAATAAATGATAAATATATAAATTCAAACATAATTATATATCTATATAAAGGAAAAAGTATATTTTGCAAGGCCCTGTGTATGTATGTGTATGTGTATAAAGTCAGAATTGTGTGTGTGTATATATAGTCAGATGAGACCAAAATTGAGCTCTTTGGCATTAACTCGGCTCGCTGTGTCTGGAGGTAGAGAAATGCTGACTATGTCCCCAAGAACACCATCCCTACAGTCAAGCACGGAGGTGGAAACATTATGCTTTGGGTCTGTTTTTCTGCTAAGGGTACAGGACGTCTTCACCGCATTGATGGGCAAATGGATGGGGCCATATACTGTCAAATCTTGGACGAGAACCTCCTTCCCTCAGCCAGAACACTGAAGATGGGTCATGGATGGGTCTTCCAGCATGACA